TCCCTTTTTGCTTTTCTTATTCCTTTCTTTATTTCTCTCTTTAATTGAATATATTGATTTCTTAACTGCACATCCCCTCTTTTGATACGCCTATATATGTCTCTCTTTTGACCAATGAGATGTTTTAATCTATTGTTCATGCATTTGGGATCATTTTTGTTAGATCTAATTTCCCTACTCGGAACAAAAGTTGTCTGGGCAGTTAGAACTATGCTTTGAAAAACGTCATATTGGCATCCAAGATCACCTCCCTGACCCATAGTCAGAACGTCCCAATTTAGCCCGCCCAAATAATTTTTCAGTCCCATGAAGTCGGCCAATCAAAAATCTGGGACAGAGATGTGATTGCAGTTATCTGGGTAATTCTTTGATGTATTGAAACTAAGTGATTTGTGATCACTTTCCCCAAGCTCATCACTAACCTCAAGATTATTAATTAGTGAATCTTTGTTGGCAAGGACCAAGTCAAGCAGACTGTTTCCTCTAGTTGGTTCTGTCACAACCTGTTCTAAAAAGCAATCCTGAACCGTATCAAGAAAGTCACTAGACTCAAGATTTCCTGTCATATTGTTCCAATCAATTTGTCTAAAGATAAAATCTCCCATTATCACAACATTTTAATATCTAGATGCCTTATGAATTTCGTCCCATAACAGCTTACTGCACTCCCTATCAAGGTTTGGGGGCCTATAAATCACACCCAAAAGTAATATGTCACGTCCCTCGAGAAAGTGTAGCCAAACAGATTCTGTGTTCGATGCTTCTAATCTTATATCATGTCTAAGACAACAATTTAAATTTTCTCTGACATACATTGCCACTCTACCACCCTTCCTGTTCACCCTATCAGTGTGGAATAGTTTATAACCTTGTATGTTGCATTCAGAAGGCATTTCTCTATCTTTCAGGTTGAACAGGTCTCTGTTATACCAATAATGTCTATATTACTTACACTTGCAAGTAATCTTAGCTCATCTATCTTATTTCTTAGACTCCTACTATTTGTATAGTAAACTGGTAATAACTGCTGTTTTTAACCCTAATGCTGCAGCCTGATTGTTTCCCACAAACACCCATACCTCTATAATCTATCAGTTTAAACTCCCCCTAGACAAGTTATCAATTACCCTCTCAATTGAATTGGCTAATGCAACCACTCCATCTCCAGAGAGATGAAACCCATCCCTTGCGTACATATCACGTTTGCCAAAGAACAGGTCCCAGTTATCAATGAATGGGATTGCAAGTTCCTTGCAGTACCTGTCTAGCCAGCAATTTATACCAATTGCCCTAGACATCCATTCATTGCCCACTCTCTTTCTAGGCAAGATGCTACATATGACTGGGATCCCTCCCTTAGACCTAACTACTTCTATGGCTAACCTGTACTTATCCAGCAGCTCCTCTCTCCTGCCCTTCCCAGTGTCATTACCCCCAGCACTAAGACAGATAATGGGCTTGTTCCCATTACCTGCCATAACATTATCTAACCTGCTGACTATGTCACCAACACCAGCTCCAGGAAGGCACACTCTCTGTCTGACCTTTCTGTCTCTGTTACAAAATGCATGGTCCATATATCTTACCTGAGAATCGCCTACTATTAAAATATTCTTACCTTGATTAGCCTAGGAATCAGTGGTACCTTCAACCTCACTAACCACTGAAGTACACTCGACTTGGAGAACAGAGAATCGATTTCCTACCTTCACATCTTCTCTATTAACTCTCATCTTCCTTCTTCCTGAACTGTGAACCACTTGCCACTTAAAGCGGCTGCCACTATCACTGCTGGTGACCATCTCCTTATCAGCTAAATCCTTCTCACACTCGCTCCCAAACTCATCTATGCGAAGCTTCAGCTTCCTATTTTCCTCCTGAAGAAGTAGAATCTCCTTCTTCAACACTTGAACCTGAGATTATAAAACACTACAACAAGCCATGGTGCTTGGTAACAGCCCACGCTAACTCCCAAGAGCTTAGGCAGGTATGACCGCAGGTGACCACTGACCTCAGCGTACTGGCTCCTCCTCGATAGCTTTCACTTCTGTGCCCACTTGCACCTCCTCACTCGACAACTGTACTGTCAATGGGCTGGGTGAGTCATAAATCACCACGTCCCCTTCCGATTCCACAGGAGGAGCCACCACCTCTTCACTCCTCATGCGACCACGCCCTCCTCCTTGCCTCCGTTCTTCCTCAGGCATCGTTTTCTCATGTGCAGGTGCTCCGCCTCTTGCCGGCCCAGGAGCCCAGTTCCGCTTGCCACAATCTGCCGCCATATGGTCATATCCGCCACACAGTCTGCACGTGCGCCTCTGCCCGGCATACGCCACCATTACCTGGGTTTTAAACTCTTCGAGATATATATATACGAGGGTATAGGATGTCTCACTGTCATCTTGAGAATGAAAGTACCCTCAGGAAATCCTGCGTAAGCTCCTTTTATGTATTCTCCAGGTTGGGCTAGATGTACAGTCCCATATCTTTCGAAAACACTTGATATCTTCTTCATCAGCCTCAAAAGGCACGTTACGGAGCTTGACCCACGAATAATGTCTTGATACATCCGTCAACCTAACCCTCACTGCCGGTGTTACGTTAATGCTGACATCTTGGTAACGATCCACCAACGCCTCGTACACTTGAGCTGCTAGCACTTTCACGAATATTTTATGAGCACCATTTAGTGCCACTCCATATAAATCCTCGTCTCTGATGTCGTATGTCTCTCTTATAATTTTGGGCAATAACACATCGACTGACGTAGGCGTTAAAGCCTCACTAATGAGTTCAATGCCCACAGTATTCACTCTCTGGCGCACACCTAGCGCCATATTGTTTTCTGAGTAGCTCGTCTGGGTAAACAATAGAGGGGTGCAAAGTACGACCGCACTCTACCTCATCCAGACAGCGAATACGAATGTGTCTTATATTTTTTAACAAAGAAACAAATTTTCTTCAGTATACAATGCATAGTTCACATGTAATAAAATACTGTAAGACCCAAAGAAAGCCACTAACATGCGGTGCATTTGAGGCAGAAATATATGAAGATCAGTCCTGGGTTTACATAGACCTTTAAACAAACTGGAGATCCACTTTCACCTCCTCACCAGAAGATACGCCGAAATGCGGCTTTGTAAAATATTACTTTCATATTTGTTCATCTTTGTAATAAATATTACATTGCGATTATCCTCGTTAATAGTTAAAATGGTTATAATGAGCTTTATATTATATATTCCTTTTCATCTTTCTCATTATCATAATATGTATTATTATGAGAGACAGAGTTAAAATGGCAGATTTACACACACAACAAGATATTACTGCCATATATGTACGCCTTGACACCCTAAAAAAGAAACAACTTTATACAATGCAAGAACTATACATGCCAGATAGAGAACATCCTATACAAGTGATAAATACCACCGATTACACCATCAATACTCCGCCTCACAGGACTCAAAGAATGACTCTCCCACAGAGGGTTCGTCGTTTTATTCATAAAAATGATTTCCCTCGACCCATGATTTTGAGCAACTTACCTGATGAGGAAGATTGGGTACCACCAGAACCCTTCTATGTATACTGAGAAAATCATCGCCCCCAACTAGGGAGACATCTTAAATAACTTTCTAATGTAAAATTTGCTATTGACTATTGTTGGACACCACCATTAAGAAGCTATTGTCACGAACTTATAAACTGGCCAGAAAATTATTGCCTTTCTTGTATAAATATCCGTTTTGCAATCGCGAAAAAAAAAAAAAAAAAAAAAAAAAAAAGCAATTGCAACTTGTATAACTACTACCAATTCAGAGTCATGTACTTATATACCTATTATATCTATGTGACTCTGATGGGTTAGTATTATACCCCTTTAAGAATATCTTATCAATTCACATACACTTTTTAAATTGCACCAAAGTGGTTGGGCCACTTACCTTTTATATCCTACCTCTCCCCCCCTCCCACCCTTTTCCAATATTTCCATCCTTACCCATCCTTCTTCCTTACCCATCTTACCAAAGCTCTGGTCATCATCATCATCAGAAGAAGATAATATGTATATATTTATATGATTAATTATATTGGTTAGGAAATGGGTCGTTCACCATGGGTGACGTCCAATTAATGACTGTGTGGGTATTCACCCCTGCACTGCTCACCTGACACGAGCTGACGTCAGGTGTGAGTGGTGTGATATTGGCAGTACAAAGCCTCTCGCTGTCTCGAGAAGGTCTCTTTGGTTTCTCCCGTATTCAAGTCGAGAAGTTATCTAATGTAAATTCGCTTTGACTCTAGACTACAGAGCAATTGTAAGACTCCAAGTTATATCTATAAGGCATAAAGGTCTTCTGTTATACTGTTCAAATTGCAAGTAGTTAATGTTGTTAAGTCTCAGTTTGGAGACTCCGTAACTTTATCAATTCTTTGTGTAAAGACCCATTGAGCTAGAATAAATATCATTGTAAACAGTTTATATAATTAAAAAATTTGTTGTTTGTATCAAATAACTAAAAGGTACCATTAGAATACCTTAAGTTCATAACGTAATATACGTTACATTAAAGATATATTTTACGACGTTTTTATGTTCTCCTCATTTACATCATAACTTCTTATTACGTTTTGTTCATGAGTAAATCTCATAAGAATAAACCCCTAGACGCAAGCCACATATCCTACAACAATTCGTAATTCCAGACATCTAAAATTATTAATTTTAAGACTTTTAGGATCGCCTAGTTCACTGTCTGTGTTCCGCCGTATGTAACCTAACATCGCTACATGAAAGTGACATATAATATAAAAAGAAATAATCTATCTTCACCATGACATCCGGTGATATAAAGAGATAGACAAATAATATTTCAAACTATGTACGGGACTGATTTTTACACAGGATGTCAAAAACAGATAAACTATTAGCGGATGGTTACGATTCTTGTTTCCTTAAGTAGCGTCAGTTCTTTAATCATCTAGGTAGTTAGAGGACGTGTATGTGACGGTCACTGGACAAACTTGTTCTTTCTAAGTTGCTGCCAACATGAACTGCACTTTCTCCCAGCCTGATAACTTTAGTTGGATCATCGCTGCCACGAGTTACATGTGTGTCATAAGCTTTCTTGGGACTGTAGGTGAGTGTTAGCGATGTGGGAGTGATATTGTTGACCTCTCAGTGTATACCTGGTGAGATGCACACCTCTGTGTATACCTGGTGAGATGCACACCTCTGTGTATACCTGGTGAGATGAACACCTCTCAGTGTATACCTGGTGAGATGCACACCTCTCAGTGTATACCTGGTGAAATGCACACCTTTCAGTGTATACCTGGTAAGATGCACACTTCTGAGTGAATGTACACCAAAAAACTCGCCTCACGATGTATAAATAATGAGATATATGCTTTAAGTGTTTTTTCACTGAGATAAGCACCTCAGTGTTGTAGATGAATGGTTCAGAGAACCGACACGTTGATAAATTAGACGCATGTGCAACTTTTGGGTATCTTTATTGAGGAAACGTTTCGCCACACAGCGGCTTCGTCAGTCCATACATCGACTCAATGTTGAGGGACTGATTACCTCATTCTCTTCCTGTTCTTCACGATTCTCCTTTGTATGGACTGATGAAGCCACTGTGTGGCGAAACGTTTCCTCAATAAAGATACCCAAGAGTTGCACATTTGCCTAATTTATCAACCTCATAGTGTATATATGCCCTAAAATACTCTCCTATCAATTTAAGTATACTGAAATATTAGCTCTGAGCTTATATATACTGTGATAAGCGTTGTCTTGTTGAATCGGTTCTTATTCAAAACATTCCTATCATGAATCATAGTCACACTGACAAATGCTCTAATATTTATAGGAAACCTGACTCATGGGATCTTCGCCTTCATCAAACCTTTTGAAGGAATGGACACTAATGTATTCATTTAGGATACCTGTATTGAAAACTTGTCGGTCTTTTGAACTTGATCACCTCAAATAATTAAAGCTATGTATTTCAAGTGATCAAGCTCCATGGACAGCAACGTTATCAATAAAGGTTACCTAAGTGAACGCATTACACATTTCTCGTCAAGCTGTTGGCAAACATTTGCCGCCCCTCTCACCTACTCTGTCATGCAACTATCACCCTCTTCCACTGTCATCCAACTATCACCCTCTTCCACTATCATCCAACTATCACTGTTTCCCACTGTCATCTTCTCCCACTGTCACGTACGTCTTTCTCTTCCGGTAGGTAACAGTATCAGTCTCTGGTGTTTGGTTCGATACGCGAAAATGAGCAGGTGGACCAAGTTCCAACTGATCTTCGTCTTCAGCATCTTACTGACAATCTCCTTGGTTATTCTTCCCTCCTTCACTTTCATCAGCTACAACAGCATCTTCTGCGAGGTCTTCTTACCGAAGAATCTCGCTTATTATATTGGCATCTGTTATTCCTTTTTTTTTCAGCTGGAGAGAATGAACTTCACTGTCATCGCTGTTTTCAGGTTAGTTGGTAACAATAGCATAAATGAAATGTCACACTGCTCTTTGATTTACTGCAAACATCAGCTGTGATTGTCTCTTTATATCTTCATATTGCTACAATAAGATCACAGTATACAGGTGATATCATAAGATGCAAAACAACCACTGTGAAAAGAATACCGAACTTCCAAGCGCTTTCGTGATTTCTCACATTATCAAGAAACAGTTCCTTGGTAATGTGAGAAATCAAGAAAGCGCTTGAAAGTTCACTATTTTTTCATAGTAGTTGTACTACATCTTGATATTTATAGGCTCAACAATAGACTTGACATCAGGCATCCATGGAATACGAAATTATAGAGGTAGGCCATGAAATTAAAGCCTAAGCATCTGACTTTATGCAGTCGAAGTTGGGTAGTTAGCCATAATAAAATGGAGCAGAGTATGAGGATGTAAACTGTGTTTACAAGATCATCTCTCAATATTCCTCCAAATTTTGAACTTTCTTCAAGGGTTCTCACTTTGTGAGAAGCCTTGAGGACACAGGTATTTATGTATTATTCAACAAATTATGACAGACACGGGTATTTATGTATTATTCAACAAATTATGGCTAGTCTGAAGGACTGACAACGAATATTTATCACATCCTAAAACAGGCACGAGTCGAGGGAAGCTCTGCTTTGCTACAGTATCTTACAATGTTTTCCACGCATCTACAGCAAACAAAACTATGGTAGCCGAACCTGTCTGTCTGCTGATTCACTGCTCCAATACATTTTTGTTGTACGAGGAAAACAGTAGCAAGGTAAACCAGTTTCACTGATGCGAATTATCTGAGGATGAAGACAGGTGTCTACAAAAGAATTAGGAACAGCTAACAGAAATTCCATAGAGTGAATCGCTCTCATTGCCAGGACTCCTGCTTTGTCTTTCCGTTGACACATTCTCAAGCATTCTTAAGGCTAATTCTCCACTACCGGGATATCTCACTTGTGTAGTTGTTAGGAGGAAAGGGTCTGGCTGAGTAGCCTTTTCCAGCATCCCACTTACTAAATAAGTTTAAAAATATTTTAAACTGCAGATAAAATATTTAATTTTGGTATGGTGCTTTTAGTTTGTAAACATGTGTAACAAACCGTAGTCAATGATTGCCCGTACAATGGCTGACATCTCGGCTCTTTATGTTAAAGTAAATTGTCCATTATCTGTCTTAGTGCTGGTGGAAATTACATCGGGAATAGCAGGAGACAGTAACTGCTGGATAAGTATAGGTCAGCCATAGATGTAGTCAGGTCTAAGGGAGGGATCCCAATCATATGTAGCATCTTGCCTAGAAGGGGAGTGGGCAATGAATGGATGTCTAAGCCAATTGGTATAAATTGCTGGCTGCTAGACAGGTACTGCAAGGATAACTGGGACATATTCTATGGCAAACATGATATGTATGCAAGGGATGGGGTTCATCTCTCTGGGGTTGGAGTGGTTGGATTAGCCAATTCGATTGAGGGGGTTATTGATGACTTGTCTAAGACTTTAAACTGATAGATTATAGAGGTAAGGGTGTTTGTGGGAAACAATCAGGCTGCAGTATTAAGGTTGAAAACATCAGATATTACCAGGATACCCCAGGGATATGTTTAAAAGATAATATTCAAAGTAAAGTTCCTAATCAAGGCAAAGAAATTGCTCAACAGAGAGAGTAGAGGGCAACGAGTGACTATCTCCCTTTTAAGGTTTACTAAACAAATAGTAGGAGTCTAAGAAATAAGATAGATGAGCTAAGATTACTTGCAAGTGTAGGTAAAATAGATATTATTGGTATAACAGAGACCTGATTCAACTTGATAGAGAAGTGCCTTCTGAATACAACATACAGGGTTATAACTATTCCATACTGATAGGGTCAACAGGATGGGTGATGGAGTGACGATGTATGTCAGAGATAATTTAAACTGTTGTGTTAGACAAGATATAAGATTAGAAACATCGGACACAAAATCTGTTTGGCTACAGTTTCTCGAAGGTCATGAAAAATTAATTTTGGGTGTGATTTATAGGTCCCCAAACCTTGATAGGGAGTGCGGTAGGCTGCTATGGGATGAAATTCATAAGGCATCTAGATATGAAAATGTTATGTGAATAGGAGATTTTAACTTTAGACAAATTGTTTGGAACACTGTGACATGAAATCTTGAGTCTAGTGACTTTCTTGATACGGTTCAAGACTGCTTTTTAAAACAGTTTGTGAATACTAAAATGGTATAAAATTCCGACAGGTTGTAGGAAAGACACATATGCAACACTTAGGTATCTTTATTTCGAAAGTTTTCGCCTACACAGTAGGCTTCTTCAGTCGAGTACAGAAAACCTGTTAGAAGCAGAAGAGACGTGTAGATGTAATCAGTCCATCACCCTTGAAGTTTTGAGGTGGTCAGTCCCTCAGTCTGGAGAAGAGTGTTGTTCTGTTTCAGACTATGGAATAACACTCTTCTCCAGACTGAGCTTCTGACCGCCTCAAAACTTCAAGGGTGATGGACTGATTACATCGTCTTCAAGTCTCTTCTGCTTCTATCAAGTTTTCTGTACTCGACTGAAGAAGCCTACTAGAGGAAACAGTCTGCTTGACTTGGTTCTTGCCAACATAGAATCACTAGTTAATAATCTTGAGGTTAGTGATTAGCTGGGGGAAAGTGATCACAAATCAATTAGTTCCAATATATCAAGGAATTGCCCAGTTAACTGTAATCAAGTCGCTGTCCCAGATTTTCGCTTGGCCGACTTCATGGATATGAAAAATTACCTGGGTGGGCTAAATTGAGACGACCTTACTGTATGTAATTTAGATAGAGTTGGTTGCCAATATGATGCATTTCAAAGCAGAGTGCTGGCTGCCCAGACGACTTTTGTCCCGAGTAAGGAAATTAAATCTAACAAAAAATGATCCAAAATGGATAAACTATAGATTAAAACATCTCATTGGTCAAAGGAGAGGTATATATAGGAGTATCAAAAGAGAAGTGCAGTTAGAAATCAGTATGTTCAATTAAAGAGAGAAATAAAAAAGGATAAGAAAGCAAAAAGGGATTATGAGGCTAAAGGGATTCGAAGACTAACCCAAAAGGGTTCTTTCAGGTACACAGAAGTAAGATTAGGGACAAGATAGCCCACTTAATTAAAAAAGTAATTCAGGTCAGATCACTGACAGTGACAATAATGTCGTGGAACTTTTCAATACTGTTTCCTTCAGTTTTTTACTTCAGGAGATACTAACGAAATTCCTGAGTAATAAATTATGTAGAACTGGAGAATAATAACTATGCACGATTAGGGTAACTAGTGCATGGTCCTCAGACCTGATGAATGTTTGTAAGGGTTTTAAAAGGAATGTAAAGGAGAACTATAGTTTACCTTTTCAATATATCACTACAAAATGGCATAGTGCCAGATAAGTGGAAAATGGCAAATGTAATACCTATTACAGGGCAGGTGACAGGGTCTTAGCTTCCAACTATAGACCCAATAAGCCTTACTTCCAGGTAGGTAAATTATGGAATCCACTAATTGCCGAGCAATTCGTGCCATCTTGGAAGGCATAAATTGATTAATGAATCTCAGCACGGTTTTACAATTGGGCGTTCCTGTCTTACGAATTTACTAACTTTCTTCACTAAGTATTTGAGGAAAGTAGATCTGGTTAAGGGTAATAGTGATATTGGTATATGGACTTTGTAAGGCTTTCGATAAAGTTCCACATCATAGACTATTGAGGAAACTTAAGGCACACAGACTAGGAGGAAATTTTTTTTCCTGGTTAGAGACATGGTTGTCAAATATGCAGCAGAGTTGGCATAAATGGGGAGAAATCAGAATGGGGAAACATCACAAGCGGTGTTCCACAGTGGTCAGTGTTGGGCCCCTTGTTGTTCACAATCTACATAAACGACATAGATGAGAGAATATTTAATAGCGACATTAGCAAATTTTGCTGATGTCATTACAACAGGCCGTCCAATTCATTCAAATGAGGACAGAGCACTCCAGGATGCTTTAGACTGATGCAGTGGTTGGAGAAGTGGCAGATGCAGTTTAATATAGACAAATGCAAAGTTCTAAATGTTGGAAAGGAAAATAACCATGCCACATATAAACTAAATGATGTAGATCTTAATATTATGGATTGCAAAAAGGATTTAGGAGTTCTAGTTAGCAGTAATCAGAAACCAAGACAACAGTGCATAAGTGTTCGCAATAAAGACAGCAAGTTCATAGCAAGAAGTATAAATAATAGAAGTCCTCAGGTTGTTCTTCAACTCTATATATCTTTGGTTAGGCCTCATTTAGATTATGCTGCACAACTCTGGTCACCATATTACAGAATGGATATAAATGCTCTGAAAAACGTACAAAGGAGGATGACAAAGTTGATCTCATGTATCAGAAATCTTCCCTATTACCTGGAGTTTACCTGGGGATAGACCGAGTGTCCTGAATCTGCACTCTCTAGAAAGGCATAGAATTAGGGGGGATACGATTGAGGTGTATAAATGAAAAACAGGAATTAGTAAAGGCGATGTTAATAGCGTGTTAAAAATATCTAACATAGACAGCAATGATTTTAAATTGGAAAAATTCAGTTTCAGAAAGTATATAGGAAAGCACTGGTTTGGTAATAGAGTTGTGGATGAGTGGAACAAACTCCCGAGTACCGTCATAGAAGCTAAGACGTTGTGTAGTTTTAAAAATAAGTTTTATAAATACATGAGTGGGTGTGGGGTGTGAATTGGACCTAACTAGCTTGTGCTACTAGGTCGGATGCTCCTCCTTTAAGTGACGTGTCTGACCTCACTGACCTAGTGAGGTCAGACGGTCAGTGAGCTTAATGTCACTAGGTAAGTGAGCCTAAGCCTCGCATGGGCCAGTAGGCCTGTTGCAGTGTTCCTTCTTTCTTATGTTCTTATGTGATATGTTCCTCAGGTGTCTGGCGGTGTGGCGCCCTCATTTGTTTCAAAAGTTATCCAAGATGGCGGTCATGGTGGGTGTGGAGGCTGGTATCTGCATATATGCTATCGTAATTTGTCTGGCAGGTCTCTTAATGGTAGGTTGTGCACAGTCTTAATTTTTTTTAAATACTCTAGGCTGCTACTGTGTTGTAGTCTTTTATTTTTAAATGTAAGTGAGAAACACCATCACTATCTACTAATAGAAATGAAGACTAATAGCACATCCTTTTGATATAGTCAACACAGCATTGGTGCTCTAAGAACGTCAATTGCTGAACTGTTTATGAGCCTTAAACAGTGATTACCTGAATGTATTTTTTGTTTTTTTTTGCGTGTGAGCCAGGTTAGTCATCATTTTCTGTTTGGATATCAAAACTTCTCTCAGTTGAGTGCAGTGATGCCAGTGTCCACACAATCTCACTTCTTATGAGTCAATACCACTCTCTCTACCTGTTTCAACAGTGCATAGCTCTTGATGATGTACTGGCTACAGTGCATCAGGCCAAGAGCTAGTGCATTTCATCCTCCCTCCGGCTGCTTGGCTTTGTATTTGAGTGACTGCTCATTTTTAACTGTCTCTCTCTCTCTCTCTCTCTGCAGGATTCGAACCTTCAAACTCTGTATCAGAGTACGCAGTACTTTACCACCGAGCTAGACCCGAGATAAATATGGGCGCCTAGCCGGAGCTAGATGTTTTCCCATACTCCGTGGCATGTGACAGTGAGGCATGTGGCAGGATTTGATGAAATAACTTTGAAAGCAAGCTAGGTGTCCCAGGGTATGGAGAAACATCGTCTAGCTCTGGCTAGGCGCCCATACTTATTTAAGGTCTGGCTTCGTGGTAAAGTACTGTGTACTCTGATACAGAGTTTGCAGGTTCGAGTCCTGCTGTGGACGTAGCTACAATGTTTGTAAATAATTTCGCCTGTTTTGCGAATTGCTAAGCATATATATATATATATATATATTTTATATATATATATATATATATATTTATATATATATATATATATATAATATATATATATATATATATATATATATATATAAACAACGCAGTGACTAATCGAGGATTAGAACCATGTCGTTGTGGTCCTCCCCATGGTGAGCGAAAATCACACATGACGCTTTAACCCACAGGACCACGAAATCCTACAAAAATCACATACCCGGCAGAGTTAGCGTGGGCTGTTACCAAGCACCATGGCTTGTTGTAGTGTTTTAGAATCTCAGGTTCAAGTGTTGAAGAAGATTCTACTTCTTCAGGAGGAAAATAGGAGGCTGAAGCTTCGCATAGATGAGTTTGGGAGGGAATGTGAGAAGGGTTTAGCTGGTAAGGAAGGAATGGTCACCAGCAGTGATAGTGGCAGCCGCTTTAAGTGGCAAGTGGTTCACAGTTCATGAAGAAGGAAGATGAAGAGAGTTAATAAAGAAGATGTGAAGGTAGGAAATCGATTCTCTGTTCTCCAAGACGAGTGTACTTCAGTGGTTAGTGAGGTTGAAGGTACCAATGATTCCCCTGCTATCAAGGTAAGATATTTTAACGAGGCGTTTCCAGGTAAGAAATATGGACCATGCATTTTGTAACAGAGACAGAAAGGTCAGACAGAGAGTTTGCCTTCCTGGAGCTGGTGTTGTTGACATAGTCAGCAGGTTGGATAATATTATGGCAGGTAATGGGAACAAGCCCATTATCTGTCTCAGTGCTGAGGGTAATGACACTGGGAAGGGCAGGAGAGAGGAGCTGCTGGATAAGTACAGGTCAGCCATAGAAGTAGTTAGGTCTAAGGAAGGGATCCCAGTCATATGTAGCATCTTGCCTAGAAAGAGAGTGGGCAATGAATGGATGTCTAGGGCAATTGGTATAAATTGCTGGCTAGACAGGTACTGCAAGGAACTTGCAATCCAATTCATTGATAACTGGGACCTATTCTTTGGCAAACGTGATATGTATGCAAGGGATGGGGTTCATCTCTCTGGGGATGCAGTGGTTGCATTAGCCAATTCAAATGAGAGGGTAACTGATGACTTGTCTAGGATTTTAAACTGATCGATTATAGAGGTATGGGTGTTTGAGGGAAAATCAGGCTGCAGCAATAGGGTTAAAAACAGCAATTATTACCGGTATACCTCAGGGATATGTTTAAAAGACAATATTCAAAATAAAGTTGCTAGTAATGGCAAATCAACTGATCAACAAACAAAGAGAGATAGTAGAGGGCAACGAGTGACTAGCTCCCTTAAGGTTTACTATACAAATAGTAGGAGTCTAAGAAATAAGAGAGATGAGCTAAGATTACTTGCAAGTGTAGGTAATACATATATTATTGGTATAACAGAGACCTGGTTCAACCTGAAAGATAAAGAAATGCCTTCTGAATGCAACATACAGGGTTATAAACTATTCCACACTGATAGGGTCAACAGTAAGGGCGATGTATGTCAGAGAAAATTTAATTTGTTGTCTTAGACATGATATAAGATTAGAAACATCGAACACAGAATCTGTTTGGCTACAGTTTCTCGAGGGACATGACAAATTAATTTTGGGCGTGATTTATAGGCCCACAAACCTTGATAGGGAGTGCAGTAAGCTGTTATGGGACGAAATTCATAAGGCATCTAGACATGAAAATGTTGTGATAATGGGAGATTTTATCTTTAGACAAATTGATTGGAACAATATGACAGGAAATCTTGAGTCTAGTGACTTTCCTGATACGGTTCAGGATTGCTTTTTAGAACAGGTAGTGACAGAACCAACTAGAGGAAACAATCTGCTTGACTTGGTTCTTGCCAACAAAGATTCACTAATTTATAATCTTGAGATTGATGATGACTTTGGGGAAAGTGATCACAAATCACTTAGTTTCAATATGTCATGGAATTACCCAGATAACTGCAATCGAATCTCTGCCCCAGATTTTCACTTGGCCGACTTTATGGGACTGAAAAATTACCTGGGTGGGCTAAATTGGGATGTCCTGACTATGGGTCAGATAGGTGATCTTGGTTGCCAATATGACGTTTTTCAGAGCATAGTTCAAACTGCCCAGACAACGTTTGTTCTGAGTAGGGAAATTAGATCTAACAAAAATGATCCCAAATGCATGAACAATAGATTAAAACATCTCATTGGTCAAAAGAGAGGCATATATAGGCGTATCAAAAGAGGGGATGTGCAGTTAAGAAATCAATATATTCAATTAAAGAGAGAAATAAAGAAAGGAATAAGAAAAGCAAAAATTGATTATGAGGCTAAGGTCGCAAGGGATTCAAAGACTAACCCAAAAGGGTTCCTTCAGGTATACAGAAGTAAGATTAGAGACAAGATTGGCCCACTTGAGAGTAACTTTGGTCAGATCACTGACAATAAGGATATATGTGAAATTCTCAATACCTACTTCCTCTCAGTTTTCACCCAGGAAACTACCAGCGATATTCCTGAAATAATAGATTATGTAGAACAGGATGATAATAAACTCTTTACAATTGTGGTAACTAGTGACATGGTCCTCGGACAAATAGAGAAACTAAAACCTAACAAATCCCCAGGCCCTGATGAACTGTTTGCAAGGGTGTTAAAGGAATGTAAAGAGGAACTTAGCATACATATGGCTAATCTTTTCAACATATCACTACAAACTGGCATAGTGCCTGATAAGTGGAAAATGGCAAATGTAATACCTATTTACAAGGCAGGTGACAGGTCCTTGGCTTCGAACTATAGACAAATAAGCCTTACCTCCATAGTGGGAAAATTTATAGAATCAATAACTGCCGAAGCAATTCGTAGCCATCTTGACAGGTACAGATTGATTAAAGAATCTCAACACGGTTTTACAAAGGGGCGTTCCTGTCTTACGAATTTACTAACTTTTTTCACTAAGAAGTTTGAGGAGGTAGATCATAGTAATTAATATGATATTGTGTATATGGACTTCAGTAAGGCTTTCGATAGAGTTCCACACCAGAGGCTATTGAGGAAACTTAAGGCACACGGAATAGGAGGAGAAATTTTTTCCTGGGTAGAGGCATGGCTGACAAATAGACAGCAAAGAGTTTGCATAAATGGGGAGAAATCAGAATGGGGGCACGTCACAAGCGGTGTTCCTCAGGGGTCAGTTGTTGTTCACAATTTACATAAACGACATAGATGAGGGAATAAATAGCGACATAAGCAAATTTGCTGATGACATCAAAATAGGCCGTCCAATTCATTCTAATGAGGACACTAGAGCACTCCAGAATGATTTGAATAGACTGATGCAATGGTCGGAGAAGTGGCAGATGCAGTTTAATATAGACAAATGCAAAGTTCTAAATGTTGGACAGTTAAATAACCATGCCACATATAAACTAAGTAATGTAGGTCTTAATACTACTGATTGCGAAAGGGATTTAGGAGTTCTGGTTAGCAGTAATCTAAAACCAAGACAACAGTGCATTAGTGTTCGCAATAAAACTAACAGAATCATTGGCTTCATATCTAGAAGTATAAATAATAGAAGCCCTCAGGTTGTTCTTCAACTCTATATATCCTTGGTTAGGACTCGTTTAGACTATGCTGCTCAGTTCTGGTCACCGTATTACAGAATGGATATAAATGTTCTGGAAAACGTACAGAGGAGGACGATAAAGATGATCCCATGTATCAGAAACCTTCCCTATGAGGATAGACTGAGCGCCCTGAATCTGCACTCTCTCGGAAGGCGTAGAATTAGGGGGGATATGATCGAGGTGTATAAATGGAAAACAGGAATAAATAAAGGGGATGTAAATAGCGTGCTGAAAATTTCCAGCCAAGACAGGACTCGCAGCAATGGTTTCACGTTGGAAAAATTCAGATTCAGGAAGGATATAGGAAAGCACTGGTTTGGTAATAGAGTTGTGGATGAGTGGAACAAACTCCCGAGTACAGTTATTCAGGCTAAAACGTTTTGTAGTTTTAAAAATAGGTTAGATAAATACATGGGTGGGTGTGGGTGGGTGTGGGTTTGACCTGACTAGCTTGTGCTGCTGCGTCTGGTGCAGTGCTTCATCCTTGAGTGGAGGTGACCAGACTGGTGGGTCATTGGGCTAATCCGGGGTGGGT